CAAATTGATTCTGCTCAATGAGATTGTAGCACGTCTCGACCACAATGTCGTCTTCGTCACCGAGGATAGTGGTGATCCTGTTAGCAATCCACTTCTTCATCAGGTCGATGTTGACTTTCTCGATGTCGACCTTCTTGTCAAACTCGGGAGGGAACTTTGTCGCCTTGAGGCGCTTCTGATCGATGCTGAGCGCCATTTTGAGGACTTGAGATAGTGTGCAGTTGCAAGAGTAATGGGGTGACGCGTGTGCGGGAAGACAAGTTCGCGACAGTGAAAGCTGGAGCTCGGGCGGGCCCATCTGCGGGCTTGGCGGCAACCTCCGGGAATTACGTCGTTCATGCAGGTACGACCGACGCTAACGCTGTCGTCACCCATCCACCCTCACGCTTTCCCTGCCACATCTCGAACTCAGATACTGCACACCGCGATCCGCGGCAAATTCTGCATTGTTGCGGCGTACCACCTCATACAAGAAAAAATCGAACAGGTCTGGAGCCTACATCGACGTTAGATGACCTACTTTGCATGTTTTTATCTCGATGTAGGCTCTACAGTGTTTAGATTTTTCCTTGAATAAGGTGGTACGCTCGAAATACGAGGCCTTGCTACTGTAGCCATGAGTCCACTGTACTCGGCTTCGAACAACATCCCCAAGGCCGCGAGTCTCCCCAGAAGCAGCCTCCTCGGCATCTCCCCCTCTTCCTCCAGCAATCCACGGTACTCATTGTTAGGGTAGATAACCTCACAGCACATGCACACAGCTGTCTATTAAAACTTTCTAGCAAGAGTAAGCAAAAGTCTAAAAAGTATATATATTTACTAGCAGGGTGTGTATTTAGAGCTTCTAAACATTTTGTTGCAATAGTTCGCGAGAAAGTATAGCTTTAGTAATGCCGTATCACGGCATCCTAGCAGCAGCAACGGCTCCTCCTCTTCCTCCAGCAGCAGCAACGAAAACCATGATAACGCGCCCCTACCTTCCTAGCTCGCGCGGCATATCCAGCTCGGCTTCCCCCCCGACGTCGCTGCGCTCATAAACTCAGCAGCCCAAGTTGGGAAAGCCTGAACGCGTGCTTGCTGCATTTACGCAACTCTTCCTGCCGTCACTCGATCGGGATGTTTAGGTCAAGGCTTCCCTTTCTGTTCCAGAGCCAAGCTATCTCGATCAGATAGGATGTGGCCACAACCATCCACTTACCTGGGCCAGCATACCATTTTCTCCCGCGTCCAATCTCACCGCTCGAATTGCTTCTCATAGCTCCTCCTTAGCATCTCTCGTCTATCATTAATTCCATCCGCACTTGTCATGGCGGGCCAAGCTGCGGCTTCGGACGTGCCTCTTGTGGAGCAACCCGAGAAGCATACCAAGCCCAAACGTCCTCACAAGCCTGCGAAGCCCGGACATCATGGCAGGCCCGTACCGCCACTGCCTGTCGAACCGCCTCCTAACCCATATCCTGAAGACACCGATACAACTGCACCTGAGCCAGATGATGAGCCAGAACCGCCGGAACTTGATTTCAAACCTCCTCCCAATCCACCAGAGGAGGGCCCTGGTGAAGCTCAGACTGATGGACCTGCTGAAGAGGCACCTGAAGCTACCCCAGAAGAGCCTGCAGCTGAGCCTGAAGCTGAGCCTGAAGCTGCGCTTACCCCGGATCAACCTCTCGCAGATCCTGCACCTGAGCCGGATACAGAACCTGAAGCTGCCCCCGAAGAACCAGCAGTAGACCCACCAGCTGAAGAGCCTGAAGCTGCAACCGAACCTCCCGAGCCTGTAGAGGAGCCCCCTGAAGAAAAGCCGTCTGAACCTGCCGCTGAACCAACACCTGACGCCGCGCCAGAAGAGCCAGCAGCACAGCCTCCAGTTGAAGAGCCCGAAGCTTCTCCTGCACCAGTCCAGCGTTCGGCAGATCCTGCACCTGAACCTGTCCCCGAGGAGCCGACAACAGAGCCACCAGCTGCAGAGCCCAAAGTTGAAACACCCGAGGAGGCTACATCACCAGAACCTGAGCCGGAAGCAGAGCCAACGTTGCAGGTGCCTGCTACAGAGCCCGTTGAGACAGCACCTGTAGAGCCTTCACCACCAGCTGCCGACCCTGAACCTACGCCAGCGCCTGTCGAGAGTGCAGCCGAACCGGAAGCACCATCTGAACCAGTTCCAGATGCACCAACAGAACCTCCACCCGCACCACCTGTCGCGGAAGAGCCCGAGGCAGCACCGGCGGCTGAACCTGAGGTTGCACCGGTGTCTAGGGCAGTAGAGTCAGAAGCACCAGCAGAAGCAGCACCCGAACCGGAAGCAGCACCTGCATATACTGCCGCAGAGACCGAAGACCTGCCTCCTCAGCCTCCAGAAGCGCCAGCGCCGGAACCGGCACCGTCTGTAGCAGAAACGGAAGCACCAGCCCCTTCCGTAGCCACTACTGCCACGTGAGTACACTAGATCCTCCTCCGATATCGCTATACTACACTACCCTTACTTTCATACTAACATCCACCAGCAAAACCCGCAAACGCGACAAAGTCAAGCTTCTCGCAGCAATGCGCGCACCGCCCGAGTCTGTCCCTATAATGGTGCTTCTCCGCCAGAAGAAGAAGGCTGGCGAGGACGTTAAGGCCATTGCCGATGCCATGCTCGCGGCTGCCGGATCTTGAAGTGAATTGGAAGATTGGTATTTGGATCGTGGTGGTGAACTTCAAGTCTCCCTAAGAATTCCCTCTACCTGGCTTTGACTACCTACCCCTATGTAGATGCTACTCGTAGCTCAATTTCATCATTACCCTTCTCTTCGTTTACGTGTAACGCCTCTTCTTTGCTTCATACCGTACATGATAAAGATCAAACTCATCGTAGCACGCTCTTCTTTACCTACTACAACACGTGTAATAAGGTTGCTGTGTCGGTACGATAGTAGCCCAGACGGCTACGATTCCCTGGAGCCCTCAACAAAGTCCTCCCATCTATCGATGTAGACTGCAGTACACGAGATGCACCTGGTGTCTCCTGTTCAGATTCATTCTTGTATACTGCAACTCCGCGCAAGAAGTTACTACTGACATGGAGTGACGTGTATGTAGACATCACAATGTCTCCCTCCGTCTTGACGTTCCTGTTCATTCCGTCTCCTCGTCCCTCAACGCACAAGCTCTGCTGTTGAGCATGACCCCAGACAGTCCTCGCTCTGAGCCTTCGCCGCCAAGTCTCCTCTTCTCGCGCTGGGCTCCTCCCAGCACGTATCCATGCTTGCACTCATTATCTTGTAATCTCATCCTCAACCCAACCCACTTCACCCCCCAACAGCCTTCCCAACCAAACTCCTCGCTTCCTCCAGGCCCCTACCCAACTCGCCCCTCTTATGCGCCTCCTTGACCTCGTAGTGGTATTTCAGCAGGTCTTTTGCGCGCTTCAGCTCTGGGTCCTGCTCCTCGTCTACCGTTGTTGTCGTTGTTGGGTCTGTTATTGGTGTCTTTGCGGCGGCATCGTGAGAAGATGGGGACGATGTGGAGGCAGAGGTATTCGAGTGCGCGGATACGAGGGCGAGTGCTGCGGGGGGGTCCTACAGTCGATGTCGTGTTAGAAAGGGTATAGGTTTGCTGGTGTGGGGAGGGCAACGTACACAGACGCGCAGGGAGACGAGGTCTGATAGTATTTCCGCGAGTTGCATTGTGTTTCCTTGGGTTTGCGCCATATCTGCTATTGCTGACGGGAAGCTTGGTTCAATGTGTTTGGTAACAGCTGTGTAATGCAGCGTGTGCGGGTTCAGATAGTTTGGTTGCGATGCGAGCGCAGGTGGGATGCATGTGGCTTGGAAGCTCTGACGTTCACCCCACATCTCGGTTCCCAACTCCCCGTGGCGGGCAGGGGCCCAGCTTAAAACTCCCCCGTCAATTGCCGGCTAAGTACTTTGCCGAAGACGGAGTGCGACTTCTGTTCTCAATCATCTCTGCCTGGTTTTTGGGTCGTCTTGAATACATTCGTTGGTTATCATTATGGCGAGTATCCAAGCTATCAGGGCAAATTGCCGCAAGGTACGTGATTTCGTGTCATGTTCGCGCTATCAACGGGTTAAGAGAAGAAGAAAGAGTTGGGAAGTCGCGTGAAAGTGAGAGTTGCAGTTGTAGAGTTGCTCACTTGTCATCACATGTGAAAACATGTGCCATCTCTCTGGCATACGTGTTATGAAGGTTGAGCTTGGGAACCTTGAAAGGAAGACATTTGGCAAAGACGCTCTTTGTGCAATCTAACATGCGACAGGTCATGTGCATAGGCAGAAACTATGCAGATCACATCAAGGAGTTGTCGAGTGCTACACCAAAGCAGCCCTTTTTCTTCCTGAAGCCACCATCGTCCATCTTGTTACCTGGCGCTGGCCCAGTCCTTCGCCCACGTGGTGTAAACATGCACTATGAAGTTGAGCTTGGTCTCATCATGGGAAAGACATTGCGGGATTTGCATCCTGAAGATACGAAGGGTGCTATGGATGCTATCGAAGGTACTATGAACGCCATACATCCAGCCAAATATAACAGTATATCGAGATCCGTCCGACTGACATTCGCGACCTAGGCTACATTCTCGCCATCGATATGACAGCCCGTAACGTGCAGGACGAGGCAAAGAGAAAAGGACTCCCATGGTCTATCGCAAAAGGCTTCGACACGTTCATGCCCATCAGCAACTTCATCGCGAAAAACAGAATCCCAGACCCACAGAAAGCACACCTTTGGCTCTCAGTCAACAACGAAATGAAGCAGTCCGACAACACTGAGCTGATGCTTTTCCGAATCCCAAGACAGCTGAGCGACATCAGCAGGGTCATGACACTGGAGAAGGGCGACATCGTACTTACGGGAACCCCGAAGGGTGTAGGCCCAGTGAAGACGGGCGACGTTATGCGTGCAGGGCTGAAGGTAGATGGAAAAGATATCGAAGAGGCAAATTTGGAGGTGCCAGTTGCGGACCGCGAAGGCTTGTACGAGTTCAGCGAGACATAGGGTCAGTCCTCTAATTGAGACAACCAACGAGGTTTCCTTCCCATGGTTGCTAAAATTCTAGCGGTTGCCGAAACAGCTGGCTTGCTCCGACCACCCGGAATGCGTGTGCTCGAAGGCTTAGGGATGGCCTTAGAGCGAGACAGTGGCGTCAGAGCAGCTTTGCGAGGTGACTTCTTAGCTCTGTCTGCCACAGTGGTTTTGGTATCATCGCTCTCACTACGCTCAATCCTTGTCGCTTTCTGCGGGCTGCGTAGAATAACAATGAGTGACTTTGGCTCCTGTTCGTTTGCAACACTCATAGCAAATTCAGATGGTGAGGCATATCTTCTGTCGGTAGGTGAAGTGGTGGCTTCAGGTATGTTCAACTTGGCAGGACTTCTCGTAACCAACTGAGTGGATTCAATCGCCGTGTTTTTGCTTTGATTTGCAGCAGCATTGTGCTTTGCGGTCGCTGGAGCTCTGCCAGTGGGACGTATCACTGTGCTGGATCTGGTCTTGATATTGTCTGATCCTTGATCATGGGCAGTCTTTTGCTTCTTGCGCAATGAAAGAGCTGGCTCGACCAACTGTGTTGGTGGGAGGTGTGATTCGCTACCTGTTACATGCGGCTTTCGCTCTTCAGCATCCTGTTCTTGAATCTTCTTGGCTTGAGCGCGAGTCAGCCTTTGAGTGAGAGGCTCCTTTGTAGGCTGCTTTCGCTTCCGTGTGATGGTTTTGTCGGTCAGCTGTGTTGGAGGTGGGGCGACTCTGGCGCGTGGGCGAGGCTTTCGCGTAGGAATTTGCACTGGAGCTGGGGCTGGGACCGGAGCCGGGGGCGAAGGATAGGTCGGGCGGTTGTGATGGACCAGCTGTGTCGCAACTGGAGCAGCATATACTGATTGACTCGATTTTGGAGCAGGCGTTCGGATTTGTCTCTGTTCCTCTGCTAGATGTGGTAACATAGAGTTGTGGATCGAAGGTCTCTGCATCAGTCTCTGTCTTGCTGACTTCACTGGATGACCTGGAGGCGCAGCGGAAGTAGACGTATCGACTGGTCTCCTGCAATATTCGTTAGCGTTACAAAAGGTGCTTCCGAAGGCCGCTCTTACCTTTCTCTCATCTCTGGACTCCGGGGTACTTGAATCTCTTCACGTACAAAACCCGGCATGAGTATCAAGTCTTCATCGTCTGTGTCACTTGTTGCTTCTGAAGTTTCGGCGTTGGGTAATTGAGACGGTGTCATAGATCTCAGCATGCCATGCTGAGACCTGGAAACGGTCTTTGGGCCAACGGTGTTAGAAATGGAGTTGGGATCCTGTCGCGTAGATTTGAGCCGGGTGATTTCTTCTTCTAGACTCTTGATCTGACGTGCGTCTTGATTACGACCAGCTTCGAGAAGATCAAGACGTCGAAGAACACCCTTCAGTTCTGTCGGGACATGTTTGAGCTTGTCGAGATCGTCCACAGCATGAGACACAATACTTTCCAGCTCGATCTGCTTCTGCCTGACGTGCTTGTTCGTGTCGACGAAGATGCCGAGGCGTGTCATCTCGCCTGCTGCCCACTTCTCGAAAGCCTTGTCGTCATCTTCGGCTTCGATCGCTGCGAGTTGTTGCTCCAAGTGTCGGACCCTCGACGTAGCAGCTTCGGCAGCCTCTGCAACATGTTCGGTAGATCTGATGCGGGCTTCGTATTCTTCATGATGCTTTTGAAGTGTTCGCATCTCCGTGAGCAAATGGGCGTGCTGTTGTTTCATCTCTGGCCCCCATAGCAGTGCCTCCGCCGATGCGAACGGCATACGTGAGTCGACATCTGTCGCCGAACTAGGTCTTCTGGGACCCATTGCGAGGGGATGCGAATCAGTGACGATAATGCGTTAGCTAGTGCGATGCGGTGACGAGGGCAGGTAATGTCGCCGGTGAGGCCAGGTAGAAAACGCTAACCGCTACATGAGAGGTGACGAGAATGACCGGCTGTGTGCGCGATGAGAGGCGATATTCGCGACGCGATGGTGGGTCCAGACGAGAGAAGCAGGCACGAGGTTGGGTGTGGCTTCCTCAGTCGAGCAGCTTCACCGAGCTGGCACATCTCCGCCACCCCATCAAGGGATAGACTGGACACCACCTATAGACGTGAATAGAAGCAAACAACCTGGAAATCTGCATCAAGTTAATAGTTTGCTGACTTCCGTTCTGATAACAACATAGACTGCAGCGCACCTGCAAAGGTTCCTTTTCAACGTGGTGCGGCAACACATTTACCTCAACGCCTTAACGAAGACCAGATCACAAAAGAAGTAGTGAAGTAAACTCTTTCTTATTTCAAGCTACCTACTGGGCACCCTCCACTTCCACTCAATCAGATCAAGCAGTACGCTTCGGTCCTTTCGGCGCATCTATTACATCATCTCTCTTCATGATGCGAATCTTCGTGTCTTTCTTTGCGCTATCTCCATCCGATTCAGATTCCTTTGGCCGTTCCGCCACACTCTTGTCGTAGCTACTCGGGTCGATACCAAGAATGCCACCTACGTTGTTGCGGTCACCAGGGACAGAGAATTCGCGGAAGGCATAGCGCCATTCATTTAGGAAGCCGCGAATGGCCTTGCCAACTTTGTCCTTGCCGTTCTTGGAGTGGTGGCCCGTTCCTGTGATAGCATAGACCGGACGCGAAGAAGAGCTGTGCTTTAGAAGGATGCCTTCGAGATACGAAACCGACTCATCTGGATGCAGACCTGGGTCATGTTAGTCTCGGTATGAACACACAATCTATCTCGACGTACCGTGAAGATCAACATACAGCTCTCTCGAGCCGTCGCTGTCCTTATTGCGATCTTCGTAAAGGATACGCGCAGCTTCACGGTGAGCTTCACGCATCAGGTTATTCTCACTCTGCCCCCTAAGACTAAGAGCTTTAGCCGCGCGCGAATCACTGCGGTTCCAAGCTTGAGCAGCGCTGTTGTATGTTAGCGGTGGAATGTCGTAGGACGAGGCATGCCTCTTACCTCTGCAAAAACTTGTTGCGCAGACTGCCATGCTTGAAAGCCTCGGCGCGAGCTTTGAGATAAGCCTGATTGCCCTTTTCACCTGTCTCTAGCCATGGAATGTGCTGAGGAGCGGGTATCGCCTGGGCAGCCACACTGTTCTCGCGAGATCCTGTGAAGCTCTTAGTCGGTCTCAATCCCTTGCGAGCCGGAGTGGCAGGAGCCGGGACGGGCGACATGCGAACGACATCTGCAAGATTGTTAGGTCCTGGAGCATCTTTGTGATGGCCATGTCCACCTCGCTTGCCGTGGTGACGCTTTCCAGTCTTAGCAGCAGCAGCGGAACCCAGACTAGGGAAAGCGTCGTTATCGTCGACTGCGAGCACCGAAGGCGTGGTGGCACGCGAGGTCTGGCGACTGCCGGTTCTAGACTGCGGGCGACTACCACCTCCGGGAGTGAAGTTTGCAAAAGGACTCAGTCCTGGTGGAGGGCGTGTGGGGCCACCACCTGTCAGACCGTAGAGTTGTTCCAAAGAGGTCGCGGCAGAGGTTATCGATGGGGTGCCTAAAGGCGAGCCGTTGTAGTGGAGGGTGGGAAACTCATAATCGGACATCTGGAAGTTGGGTATTGGTGGAGTTTGGACGTCCGATACAGCCATACGAGCCATGAGCGCAGAGGGGTCATGTGAGAAGAGGCACGTATCGCCAGCCAGGCAGTTTCCATTTAAAAAGTATCTGTATCGGGTATTAGTTCTGACCGTAGCAGGAGCTGTATGTATACCTACTTGCACAACGTCTTGCTGGTGTCATGGCTGAATCTGCAATCTGCTCGGGCGCAATGTCCGGTTGACAGAAAGTACTTGCACACGATGTTGCTCTTCTGCTGGCCCACGGGTGTACTAGGCCTGAATGCCGGGCTCATGGACTTCCCGATGACGTATCCTGGGTGCTCAGAGGGCGTGGTAGGGAGTTGTTGTACGTCGAGTTGCTGTCCCATGAGTGCGAGGAGAGCGGCACTGAGGTCGTAGCCATTGGCCTCCAAGACCTTCTCCAGCTCTTCGTCTGATCGGTCGTCCCTGAGAATCGAGCGCAGCATGTCGTATGGGCCCATGTCCATGGTCTGGGGCTGCACCCATTCGGCGGCGGCACCGTTGAGCGTGCCGTCGCCCAGGAGAGACGACTCAGTGCTCGCGGCGTCATCGTTGACTAGCCAGTCGACGGAGTGGCCATCGAGGTCGCCATACGACTCGGTGTTGGGACTTGCGCATTCGCTGAACTGGTATGCGCTCAGGCTGGGGCTGTGGGGGATATGCGGTGTGGAAAAAGCAAGGCGAGGCGAGGGTCGCGGGGAAGTAAAGGGGGACGCGGTGGACGACTTTGTGCGCGCGAATCCAGGTGGCATGGGGAAGCCCGGCGGCGGGTGTACCATGCGCGGCGAGGCGTTGACAGGAGTTGGGGCGCGATTGGCCTGCCAGGGAGCTGGCGAGGGCCGGCGGATGATGGTATGGCGGCTGGGGGGAGAGCTGGAAGAGCTGCCGGCGTCGCGATAGCGCCAGAGACAGTCCAGGACAATGTTCTCGAGTGATTTGCCCGTGAGGTTGGTCTCCTTGCGCATCAGCTCCTCGAGCTTGTCCGTCTTGTCCTCCTCATCCAGGGCCTCGTCCTGCAGCACAGGCAGCGCCTTCTCGTACAAGTCGTCGGCGACCATGGCGTTTACTTCCAAGCGGGCAAAGGATACTGGGCGATGGGTGTTCGGGTGTGGCGCGCAGGACGGGTGAGGTCAGAGGTCAGAGGTCGGGGTCCAGGTCGAGACAGGAGGCCGTCGGGGGTGATTACAAGTACTGCGGGTAATGGCAGAGGAGCGACCGGCGCGTCACAGGAGGAATGAAGCTGCAACGAAGGGCAATAACCAGTCCCGCAGCCTTCTTCTGCAGGACACACCAAGTGCGCCAAAACGGGCAGAGTGATGGAATGCCTGGGGCGATCTCGAGCGCGAATGAAGCTCAAGGGACTAGGCTCAACTACGTAGGGGTGGGGGATGCTTGCACCGTGCAGCAACGTCGACCATACAGCGGGAACGGTAATCTCCAGCACTTGCTCCCGGTCTGCCCTACATGGCCCTGGAGCCTCGAGCCGGTGGTGATGCGGTGCGAAGGAGTCTCAGCTGAGCGAGGATGATGACGACTGGGGCTGGATAAGAAGTGCTGCGATGGCATTCGTCGGCGGAAAAACAAGCTGCAACATATGCCTCAAGTATCGAATAGGGCTATGGGCGCCACAGACTGCGAGAGGCTGAGTAATCACGTGCTCTGCGTCGTGTGGGTCCGCGGAAACATCCATGGATGCAGTACGTTGTAGGTTGCTCGAGTTGTCTAACATGACCAGAACACATGTCACGCACAGTATATGCGCATACAATGCTGCAATGACCTTATACACGAAACAGCTTGGACAGGTCTACGGACTACATCGCGACAAAAACCTGCAAAGTGGGTAACCCAACGTCAACGTAGGCTCCAGGGTGTTCAGTTTTTTGCTAGGTTGACTTGCAATCATCGAATTATAGTTGTCCCACGCGCATGCCGAGCAAGACTGCTTTTCAACTCGGGGCCGATCTGATCTAATCGCCTAATGCAGGGCGGATCCATGGCGGATGCACCGCGTTCGTCCGCCCGGATGACGATGAAACCCAGAGCTCTCCAACAGCGCCCACACCACACTAGCATTAGCATCTCACACCAAAGCTGCCTCCGACGCTCCACTACCACCACGCGGAATGTCCGTCTCCAGTTGTATCAGCTAGCATCTCCCATTACCTTTCTATTCACTTCCCTACCGCATTCACATCCTCTTACCTCCGCATACTTCCGCGCCACTCCGTTAGGCGCACCTCCCCGTATCGTATAGAGGCATCCATCAACATGCCAGCGAGCGATTATGATGTCCGCGCCCTTGCGCTCCCTTTAGACGACGAGGAAACAGGCCAGACGCCAATATGGAGCCGACGTCCGCAATCATCCACCTTCCGGCGCAACGCATCGCACCACAGTCAACAGAGCTCATGGCGGCAGCGCGCCATGGACAAGTACGATACACTCTCGCGACGAGTCCTCGATCAATATAACAAACTTTCTCCCCTGCAGAAAGTGCTGTTTTTCGTAGGGAACCTGGTGTTGGCAGTGGGCGGCATACTGTTCCTGGTGTACAACGAGCGCATATTCGGGGCCCTGTTACCCGTCGCGAAGAAGTGGAGAGACGTGACAGCCGGATGGCTGATCCTCTGGGTCTTGATCTTCATCGTATCATTTCCGCCATTGATTGGCTATTCGAGTTTACTCACCATAGCCGGCTTTGTCTATGGCTTTCCAAACGGGTATGCTTCACACGTCATTCACAACATGCAATCTGACAGTGTACCAGTTGGTTCATAGCCGCGACAGCAACCGTCGCCGGCAGCACGGCATCCTTCCTCCTCTCACGCACCCTCCTCAAATCCATGGTCCACCGCCTCATAGCCAATGACACGCGCTTCGCTGCCCTCTCTCTCACCCTCAAACACGATGGCCTCAAACTCCTCGTCATGTACCGCTTATGTCCGCTACCATACTCCATCTCCAACGGTGCCGTCGCAACCTTCCCCACCGTACACTGGGCATCCTACGCTCTAGCCACAGCCATTGTATCACCAAAGCTGATGCTTCACATATTCATCGGCAGCCAACTCGAGAAGATTGCTGAGAGTGGAGGCAAAATGGACCCCAGCACAAAAGCTCTATCCTACGTTTCCATCTTCATTGGTCTCGTTGCGGGTGTTACCACGGGCTGGCTTGTATACCGCAAGACCAAGGCCCGCGCTGCAC